ATTCGCTCCGACGAAGGGCTAACGCTCGAAACGTCAGCTTTTATAATCGTAACGGTGGCCAATTTACCATTTCAACTTTGTTGATATATTCCAATTATTTCGTTACCCCCACCGACGCTGCCCCAAACAGTTTCTTTAGAAACTATCCGCCTTTATACACAAGCATAACTCAGGCTCTTGCTTTACAACAAATCGTCACGTAACTCGTCACATAACTCGTCAAATAACTCGTCACTCGTCAAATAACTCGTCAAATGACTCGTCAAATAATTATGTTTGATGATGGCCCTTTGCGGACTCCGTAAATGACAGCTACCTTCCTTATCTTACTTTTATCCGACGCCTAGTATGCAAATTAAACTTAAACAAAGAGCACAGCATGGCTTATTTATTCAAATTTAAACCATGAATATTGGCCTTGAAACCACAATTAGCCCTGCAAAAAAATATGTCTATTTTTGTGCGAATTTTAAATAGGTGATCATTGTGATTTTAGTAGAAAATTGTTGGCAATTTAAGCGGGCAGAGTTACGCTTTACGACGCTTTGCGACGCCTTGCTCAGACATTTTGCAAAGTACATTTGGAACGTTGTAAGTGCGTTGCAAAATTAAATAAACGCTTATCTGAACAACAATAAGGTTAACACAATTCAGAATAAGAACTGAGCTAAAAACGAGTTACTCTTTCAACTTGCAGCAAAATTTTTTTTTTATCATGCAAACACACGAGCGAACTAGTCATACTCACAAGCTTTCAAAGCTCCCCACTCTTCAAATTTCACACGCTTATCTTCAAACTCAACCTCAGCCGCTTTGAAAATCAATCGCACTACCTCTCCTCTTCCTCTGATGTCAAAGTAAGTGAGTTTATAGCTCGGCATATTGGTTGGTGAGGCAGACTAAAGTTACAAATGACAATGACAATGCAAATTCGAGCAGGTGTCGCGCGCATGTACTTTTGTAAAAGTAAGTCCTGGCAGGGGGGATTGATGTCACGCAACTGAACAGTTGCATCATAACAATGAAAGGAATAACATTTTGTATTATCAACATGCGGCTGGATATTATGCGTCGGAGTTTGCTAACGCGCGTGATTACTTCTTTTTCTTTAACTGATTTACAGCAGCAAAACAATTCAAAGGAGTAATGTAAAGGTATAAATCAAAGCAAGGCGAAATCAAAGCATTTGTTAAATTTTGCGTCAACTATCATAACAGAGTGGGGCATGTCTGGGGAGAGCCCTTTTTCAGATTTACTGCCCCTAAAAATTTTAACATTTCAACTGAAAATTTAACGTTTAATAAGCGAATTTTCAACCCAGTGTTGATCAAAGGTTCATGTGTTCTCTACTTTTCTCTTTCTTGGTTTTTTTTTGTTTAGCTAGTGATTATTTTAAGATGACTTGACATTCATACTCCTGAGCGTTTTCATAAACGGTGAGTCAAATCGGAAAGAGTTCGAGACCAATATTTCCTTACCCTGGTCTCAGAGGTTCTCTTCTCTCTGCCCGGAGCGCGAAAGGCCGAATTCTCGTACTCCGGTAGAGAGAAGAGAACCTCTGGGACCAGAGTAATATTTCCTTGGAGAAGAATTTTTCTCTAACTAATTTGGTAGGTAATTTACAAAAAACTGCGAGGAGAAATTACAAATTTTAACATCTCTTGACGCAGTCAAGGTTCAGTTAAGCCCTGAAACAACCCTCTTTCCTGAAAGGCCTCGTCTAGAACATTTTAATTCGTTTATTCCCATACATAAACTTAATTATCAGGATTGAAGAATTTCCCTCGCTACAAGTTTGTATGAAGAATACACAAAGTAACGCACAAATTTGCTCATATCAGTGTTTCAGGTCGCGCCTCCAACCACTTTTTGATATTCGGGATCTCCATAATGCGTTTATAGTGAGACTCCAGGAGAGGATACGCTTGGATCTCCTCTGGAACTTTAACCTTTCCTTGAACAAAGAGGTGATTCAGCATGTTAAAGACGGCAATGTCTGCGTAGGTGAGCTGAAAATAAACAAATGATGCAAGCCAGTGATGACAAATGTAAATGATGAACATGCATGAACAAAGAAATAAACCATNCGAGAGCGCAAGTGCGTGGGTGAGAGAGTGTATGAGTGAGTGAGTGAGGGGTAGGTGAGCAAGTGAGAGCGTGAGCGATATAGGTTATGAGCGAGTGAGTGAATGAGGGGGTGGGTGAGAGGTTTTTTGTAATCGCCGATTTATTTCGACTAACGCCACGGTTGTGGGGGCTGTTCATAATCTTTTGGGACTGTTTCAGAGTCTAATAGCGACTTGCAGTGACTCACCTTTTCACCGACAAAAAAAGCCTTTCCGCCGTTGTTTGCTTTAAGAATATCTTGAAAGCCCTTCAACATTCCTGGTGTAGCAGCTTTCGCGTCGTCGTATAGCTTAGCCTGGAGCAAGAAATGAAGGAAAAACCGAGTGAGATATAATTTGCTTGACTTCGTGGTAGCTGTCCACCTTGAGAAAACGGTTATTTCTGAGATTTTATCCCATACCAAGGACTGGTATTGATCTATGATGGATCTCTCCCAGCTAGGCATGTAAGAGCTTCTTCAAGGAGTACATAATTATGATGAAAATGAAAGAAAGCTTAATAGGTTACAATGACAATTAGTTAAAAAGGGGCCGGTGTGAACCAAACTTTCTCGCGCACTACCAGTTCACCCTTGGGTCGTTTAGTCCATAAGCATTCCATTCATTCACTTGTAGTGTTATGTCATATTAAAGGGACATGAGGAAATCGATGCTATTAGATACCATGATTATGAGTGTACAAACTACCTTTCTAGTCTCGTCTTTTTCGAAGTGAGCTTTAACATATTTCTCCATCAAATCAGCAGAGCTATCCACAAGCATGTCTGCTTTAGCTTTCAGTAAATCAGTGGCAGGAGCCAAGCCTGAGACGATCCAAAAATAATGATAAAGATCATAATGAACATTTAGACGGGCTGGAGTAAAACAGGAAGGAATTAAGGAGGAAGAAAGAAAGGAAAGGGAGAGGGAGGGAGAGAAGGTGGAATAAACTCACTTCTTATCGGGAGAGACACCATTACCAACTATAATGATGATTGTCTTTTTTTGTTTGCTTTTGTTTTGTTTTGTTTTGTTTGTGTGTGTGTGTGTGTGTGTGTGTGTGTGTGTGTGTAAGCGTGCGTGTGCGTATGCGTGTGAGTGTGCGTATGCGTGTGTTAGCTTTGAAATAAAAAAAGGGTTTAAACTTATCAGGAGAAAATAATCAGACAGACTGGCTCTTGAAACTTACCTAACACATTGGCCACGTATCTTGCGATAGATAAAGATTGGGCAAGAATTTCTCCATCAAACTCGAGAACTGGCAGCTGAGCAAACGGAAATTTCCCAGCTTTAATAATACAACGAAAGTTAATATTAATAGAGAACAGCTATCAAAACATACGGTATACTTAGGGGTTAATTGGTCTCCTTCCTCGCATCCGTAATTAGAGGAGAAGCGTTGCGTGACGAGTCTGAGAACTGTGCAAAGTTTATACTGATCTATGGAAATTCGTGTTTTACTTGATTAAGCACACCGTAAATTCATTATTCACAAACTTTGCGGAAACCATTATTTTTAGCTCCTGAACTTAGTTTAGCGGAGGCCGAATGCGAGATTTCGGAACACACTGTAAATAGGTGATACCAGCCTTTTTCCTGAGCAAAAATCTGCGCAGGATAAACGCTTTGCTACGTGATTTTAAAAGCTGTAAGCGAAATCTTCAATCAACAGTGGGACACCATGAGCTTCATAGATGTACAAAGTGGAATGAAGGCGTCGAGAGGTTCAAAGATAAATTATCCCTGAAAAAACGACCTGAAATTCAAATCATGACCTGATCTAAATTAAACAAGAGAACATTCACCTTAATGCAAATTTTGAAATGCAAACAAACGATTGAATCGCGCTGTAAAACTTACTTGCTTTCAGTGCTCCCCAGTCTTCAAATGAAATTCGATGATCTTCAAACTCCACCCCGGCTGCTTTGAATATCAGTCGTGTCGCTTCTGCTCTTCCTCGA